CCTCTCTTTCAGATCGGCTGTACTTCGCTACTTTGCGAAACAAACCCAAAGGTACCGTGAACACCCACTACTTCTGTACCGACGAGGAGCTGGTCTACGAAAAGTAAGTGGTGTGGTCTCGTCGTGTCTTGCATACCGAAAGCGATCGCCCGGGACTCGCCCCGCACACCCCGGGTTTTTTGCCCCGTTTGCTCAAAGCACAAGGGTAAAGTTGGCCTGAATATATTTATACATTAGCTGAAACTAGTTGAACGAGACTGCAGCGAGACTGCTATTTCAAAAACGCACGAAAATGGCTACACGACCAGTTAAATGGCTTAAAGTGTGGTTGAGCTAGAGGAAGGATATCTGAGCTCTTGTAAGATTTGTTTTTAAGGTGGAGAAGATCACGTAAGGCTAATTACATCTTATTAAATGGTGTCTTAAATAGGAGACTGCTCTTTGGTATGAATAGCTGAAACAACAGTTTGTTTTATATGTATTTTCCGGTATAGAGGGTATGAAGTGAGCGCCTTCTGTACAGAATCATGAGAATGCAAAGCTTAAATGTGCTTTTGAAGGACATCTGCAACTTTTTTTTTACAAGTCTGCGGAAGGTTTTGAGATTAGCACTTCCTGATGGCTTTTGTAGCTTTAGAACAGCAGAAAAAACACTTTCTGTGAAGTAAAAGCTTTGTGTGTTTGGAAGACATTGACACTACATTAGCAGGTCAACAGTAAAATTGTAGCGTGAATACTGCTAAAGGACATAAAATACACTTAACAAAAAGTAATGGCTCTCTGCTGTGGTTAAAAAATAGTTGCTCTGCACCGTGCTCCAGATGAACTGGTTCATGTGTGATGCTCTGTCTAGCCACTTGACAAGGGGGTTGCTGCAGCACAAATGAAACGAAAAATGTGATCTTACTTTAAATACGACTTTCTTTCTATATGAGTTTAAGAACTTGGAGGCTCAACCATTCTTCCTTCCCTTCTCCGGTGACTTAAATACCGCTTCTCCTTGGTTTCTAGCTTACTTTCTGCACACAGCTTGCAGTGCTAGGGTTTCTTTTCTACACACGTTTTTAAGTCTTCGTTATCTTAAGCTGCATGTCTTCTGCTGGAGTTCCCAATGATTCTGTTCCCGAAGCTGACTCCTGTAATTAACTGCTTGGACTGGGAGTAGGTTCTGTAATGACCATTAACTAATTTAGGTTGGAAGGGACCTCAGGAATACCCTTAGGCAAGGTAGACATAATATTAAAAGCAGAATTCAACTGGAGAAGGTCCTGACCAATTTCTGTTATATGAATATGTTCCACTTCCTCTAATGACAGAAAAACTCAATCTTGTATCTTTTCTAAGACTTGTATGCTATGTTTGACCTGAGGTATTTTGTTTCTAGTTCTCAATGTGCTTCTAGGAAGGGTGAAGGAATTTTATGTAGGATTTGATCTTGGGGGTGGGAAGGGGGAGCGGTTCCGTACTCTGTTAGTTGCAGATGATGGTACTCAGCAAGGACTGTAACTGGGGTGTTTTGTGGGAGGACAGTATCGCACTAAAAAAAGAAAAAAAAAAAAAAAGTACTGAGAAATTTGGGGGGGTGGGGAGGGATGGGGGGAGTAATTTTCTTTACAATGTATAAAGGAAATTCAGTAAGTATACTCCTTAACCCAATTACCCGTTAACCACGTACCAGGGTGTAACTTGATACGAGATATAATTACAAGATAAAGGAAGAAAGCAAAGTCTCCTGTATCTTCTAAGGCACATCTAAAGATTTTGGGTCTCTTAACTCATGGTGTATCTTCTGAATTGATAGTTCCTGATCTATTTGGCCTTTTCTTAAAGGTGTCATCTGGTATTTGGTACCGTAATAGTACTCTCCCTTTTGTGCTCTCAAATTAAAATACTAGAAGATAATAGGAGGTAGAAATTAAGTGACTGTTACCAGGTGGTATGAATGAATTTGTGTAATAACCTTGCTCTTTCACATAACAGTGCTAAACTTTCCCCTGGTACTTTTATTGCAGCACCCATCACACCAGTGTGTGCAATATTTGGTAGTAAAAGCATGCCTGACTTTATTTTTATTTTTCCCTCCCTCTTTTTTCCCCACGCATCCCCAAGGAAGCTTATATTGTCTCAGGGCGGTAAAAGCAGGTGTCAGGAGGGTTACTATTTTACAATTTTTTTTTCAATATCTTTCTAAAATTGGAAAGCTAGAGGCAAAATGAGGAATAGAATGCAAGTTTCCTGGTTCTCGGGGAGGTACTGATTTTACTATCGCTTCCCTCTCCCTTCTGCATATCGTGGGCTTGACACCAGCCTGTTAACGTTTCACGGGCTGCACAGCGAAGCGAGGGGCCTGACGTCAGGGCTTGTCTCTGAGTAGGAGCCGAGTGTAACTTTAATATGCCAGACTGCATCTTCTGCTCATTTTCTCAAAAATGCAGCCTTCTTTTCTGAGAAAGTGATTAATATTTGTCATGCGATAGCAAAATAAACACTTGGAAGCGAGTTTCGAAGTGCAGTAGCTCAGAACAGGGGTTTCCAGAGTCTTCGTTCAAAATGGCCTGATCAGAATTTCATGGCCACTTCTGCTTTTTAATCAAATATGTTGTTCAGGTTGTTACAAGGAGGAGGATAGGAGATGTCTGCTCAAGCGCAAAATCCTCAGCATCTGTGAGGTAGGCAAGTAATTTTGTTTAGATGACTGTTGATTGACCGTTGATTAATTTGGTTTAGATGCTTTGACAAGACACTTCATTGTGCGTGGAAGTAAACTGGCTTTTCTTTGGGCTCTTATTCCGGTTTACTTAAGAGTTATCACTAAAGTTGACGTGTTACAGAAATTTATTTAGCTGACTACTGAGGTGTCGATTTGCTTTCACTGAAGCAATATATGATCTGAAAACCTCATGAACACATAGGTTTGGGGTTGTCTGATTACAGAGAGCATGTTATTGGATCACGTAGTACTTAAAATCTCACTGCCTTGCTTCCCCCTTTTTTTTTTTTTTTCCCCTGCTCTTAAAAGAGACATAAGGAAGTAATGCTGTATGTTAATAATATACCCCATTCATTAAACAAAACAGCTGTAGCGCTAGGTCTAATGGGTTTGGAAGTTCTGGTCTGATGAATGCTGGCTCGCTCTCGCCGCTTGTCACGTGCTTTCTCGCTAAATTGTACACAAAGTGGGGTTACGTAATCTGGAGTGCTTTAGCCTTCAGGTTTCACTCAAAGTTGTCAACTCTTCTAACGAATTCATAACACTGTCTTCGCTTATTTAAACATTCACGCTTTTAAAAATAATAAAAGATAGGCTTAAATGCTTTTAAGAACATCTCAAATGCGAGCTGACTAGGAGCTCGCTACTAGAGCTGTCACTGGTTTAGTTAAATGTGCTGCAATTTAACCTTGAACCTGTTATGCTGGGGGAATGGTATGTAAATTCCTCGCTTGAGGGAACAAGAAACCTGAATGAACTTCTGCAATTCTGAATTCTCTTTTTTGATCTCTTTCTGTAAGATTTTTTGTCAGTCTCTTTCTGAAACGCCCTGAGGTCTCTCCTGAGAAAGTCTGCACTGCTACTTATAAGGAAATGCAGTCTTTCAGGGTAATGCAGTGCAGGTAACTATTACTGCAGGAAAATGGAGTTAATGAGAAATAATCCAGCTTGATGAAGACTGTCATTTGGCAAATAGACAAGCCTTGCCTTGGCAAGACCTCAATTAACGAGTTAGGCACTAGTAAGAAGCTTTTTATTCTCTAAGAATAGCGTCTTTCATGTTTCACCTTTCAGTAAACAGATCTGGGCTGAGAATACTACACTTGACTGGTTAGCTTGGCTTTTGCATATATTTATCAAAGCAACTTTTTATGTCCTTTTTATTGTTGAGTAGTTTTCTCAACCAAAATTAAAATTTAGATAATGAGAAACAGGAATCGCTTACTGATAAATTATAATGGCAGCTTTCATAAATCATGATGTTTTTATTCGGTCATTTGTTCTGACTTTGGATCTCTTGTATAAACAGCTTTTACAGATCTAGACCCTGACATCTTGTGAGCAGCTGTGAAAGTAATTAATATGATATTCTCTGTACATCCTCTGTTTTGCACTAAAACTTTCTTTCAAGCCATGGTATGTTAGGTTACTTGCCCAATTTCACAGCAGTCTTAATGTCAGCTGCTACTTTGAGTTCAAGCAGCAGTGGAATAAGACTCGGAAGCTTAGCTACCACGATATCAGGTAAGTGCTGTTTGGACTGTGACTTGTAGGACTCGTTTCTGTCACTGCATGTGTGTATGAGACGCAGCAGTTTCTCCTTGCTGTGAGAAGAGTAAGGGTTAACTTGTTTGTTTTTACTTTGGCTAAACGCTTTTTTCTGTGGCTATCTAGTAACAAGTATCTAGTACTTGCATAGGAAACCCGAACTTCTCCATCATTCTGTGGCTTATATCATTTGAAAGGAAAAAGAAAACTTAAACTTAGCCGTGTTAAAACAAACAGAGCTGTCTCTTCACACAGAGAACAGGGAGTTCCTTGTTCACATTCAGTAGCATTTGAAGACTTGAACTTGACTATCAGATGACCAAGATAACTTGGTAAGCTAAAGTTCACAAAAAAAAACCCTAGGAAATACAGAGCAGAAAAACTTCATATACTAATACCAGCTTTTGTATGTCTAATTCTTACAGATGAGTATTAAGAGTAGTACTCCTGCTTTTGTTTTCCATCTTAAAATGAGAGTTTTAAAATGCGCTGCAAACAAAATGGGAAGATCTAAGGACTGGGGAGCATCAACTTTTCCTTCAGACACAAACTACTGACATAACTTTATATTTGAAACTGGTGAAGTGCTATCCTTTAACACCTGTGGTGGTCTCTCCAGTCTAACAGTTTCATAAATTTTGTATGTACACATTGCTTTACCATATCTGTCTTCGCTTCTTTGTATGGAAAAGATAAAAGCAGTTGTCAAAAGTGTTGGAGGAATCTCTTTTGCTTGCAGTAAATGGGTACCAGGATAAAACAAGTCTTTTTTTTTTTTCTAGGCTCCAGCTTTGTATTGGATGGGAATGTAGCTTGATATGGGAAACCTCTTATGAGAAACTTGG